GCCCACAAATCAGCACGGATCTGGGACTTAGATTGTCACCCCCTGTCAAGCGGCCGGCTCCCTAGGACAGTCACTGGGGCTGCAAGAAATATGGCCCATCATCGCTGGTGCTGGAGGAAGGGCGAGATTTATTCCGGACCGCAGGGCCCCGTGTCCGACACTGGCACAGCCAACAGCTGCTCCTTCCACAAGAAGGGAAATCAAGGCCCAGATCAAGGAGGATCTGCCCAGCAGTGGGCATCCCAAGCCCAACACCTCTGTCCCCTAGAATCCATGGCCCCTGCCAGGCCAGTTTGCAGGGTCCCCAAGGGGTCCTCCCTGGGGTCCCCTGCGAGCAGTGGGCCTTCTACTGGGAAGAGAGTTCCCAAATGGGAAGGGGGCCCCGGGCCAACCTACCCCACGCCCTCCGCCAGCCTGGTCTGCAGAATGCTCTGGGCGTGGCCGGCTGTTCATAGGGGCTGGCTGCTGGCAGGAGGCCTGGTGCCCGGGGCACACGTTCTGTCTGACCTCGCAATATAAGGTGACGATGACGGCAACATGAAGGCGGTTCTGGGATGATCTCACCCCGTGCCACCCTGTGTTCTCAGGAGTGTCACTGCTCTGTCTCCAGGCCCCAGGGCAGGGTGGGGACAGTCACACCAGCAATTATTCTGCCTCCCCACCACACCAGCTCTGGGCCATGGAGTTCACTGGCCCGGGCATCACCGCACCAGCAGCCAAGCAAGGGAGCAACCCAGCCTCAGGCAGCTCCAGGCATATCCACGCAGGGCGAGGCCTCATGCACCGCCACAGAGGCTCTGCTCACAGGGTCTGGATGGGCCAGGGGACCATGGGGAGGTGGCCCCTGCTTCCTGCGCTCAGCCCTCAACCTCAGGAGCAGGAGCTCCCACTGTCCCGAAGTCCAGATGACAGGGACTAGAAGGTCTGTACCACCTGCTAGGAGACATTAGCCCCCTGGAGTAACAGCCCTCAGGACCCTCAGGACTGTTCCCCCAGGGCTGGAGACCCCAGTGAGGATGGCCAGGACTGTGGGCTCCGGGACATCAGCCTGCTGAGGACGGCATGGGGAGCAGACGGCACTGGTCACCCTGGGAAGGGGCAAGTGCAGGCTGGAGTGGTGATGCAGACAGACTACCAGGGCGCGTGGGGGGCTCAGTTATAACCGCGTGGAGCTGGACGAAGCCACATGTAGGGCATGCCACCCTGCCTCCGTCACACACACCAGCACGAGGAGGGTGGGGCATGTCAGCGAGTGGGAGGAGACAAACTTCCCCAGAGACAAACGCCAAGCCTCATGGTCGACGCCTCACCCTGCTGGAGGCAAATGCCCACCCTTCTTCCTGTGGCATCCTGTGTGGGGTCCAGGGCCAAACAGATTGGAGGGGAAACTGAGGCAGTGGGCACAAAGACTTCTGTTTTTTGGTTTTGGTTTTGCGGTGCTGGGGATGGAACCCAAGCCTCACACACGCTAGGCAAGCGCTCCCCAAGCCACTGCCTGCCCTAAGGTCAGCCTTAAAAAGAGAACTCTGAAATACACAGTACGCAGCAAAAGGCTAGGTGTGACGTGGCTGGGGTACAGGGCCACACTTAGAAAGGCACGAGGACGTAAGGGGACCCTCCAGCTTCCTGGTTGCAGCCGGCCCTGGACTTGGTGGCCCGTGGGCAGAGCTGTGTCACACCGGGAAGGACCCAGCTCCCTCCTGAGGCCCCTTCCCCAAGACCACAGAGGCCCCAGCTTGCCCGCGCCCTGCGTCCCTGCACTCTGCAGAGCCATGACCTGTGCTCCGGGTGGAGCCCCCTCGGTGTCCCTGGACACCAACTGAGGTGGGCTTCTGAGCAGGTCTCTCCCAGCCCCACTCCCTCCTGAATCTGCCCCACAGTGGCCTTGCCCACAGGAAGCCCCTCCTTGGCTGCTGGGGACACCTCCCAGCTTCCCGGCCTCCTGGCTTCCTGTGTGGAAACGGCTGGATCGTGCCGCGCCGGACACGAGGTCAGGAGGGCGACGTCTCCCTCGAGCTTCCTGTTTGCTGGAGCAGATCTCAACGGGGGGCCCAACAATCAGGTCCCAAGAGAAGAGCAGCCAACGGGGTCTGCACCCTGCCTTGCACGCTCCAGGGAAGGGTGGGAGGGGAGCACGGCCGCCAGGGACACTGGGTGGGAGGCCAAGGCGACTCCAGGGAGCCCAGAGCTCCGCGCACAGGGGCAGCCAGGCTGGAGACAGGGAGCCCCGGGAAGACAGGCCCGGCAGCCACACCTGTACCGCGACACTGCCAGAGAGGCCTGAGGCTCCCACCCCAGCCTCCAGGAAGGTGTCAGGGCGACGACTCTTGGCTCTTGGTGTGGGACCCTGAGTGGGCACCCCAAGCTGCCCAGCTCAGCTTCGGGCAGGGAATAGACCAGACAGGAAGGAAGGGAAGATTCATCCTGGGACCCAGGCTGCAGAACACAGCGGGGACCTCTGGTGCCGTCGCACCCACCCCCACCCCATGACCACTGCCACGGCCACCCCACCCCAAGACCACTGCCACGGCCAGCACACTAGCCCTTGTTGCTGCCCACAGCCACTGCTGTAAGTCACCATCTCCACTGCAATGGGAATTTCAAGACCCAAGCACTTGTGCCCAAAACACCCACTGCTCCCCGGGGCACCCGAAAACCCCGTGGGGCCCTCGTGCCCATGGGCTCCAATGTCCTCGCTGCCCAGGCTGATCCTTGGCTAAGGGAAGCCCCTCACCTTCTGAATCAGCAGCCTCAGGGGCAGCAGGCTGGCAGGGCCCAGAGAGCCAAACACCCTCTCCCAGCCTGGGTGGCAGGCAGCGCCTGCTGCTCTGCAGCGGGTCCCTCAGCCCCTGCCTCGCCCATCCCCCACTGGGCCCCAGGAGCCCCTGCCCCTTCTCCCACATGGCCTCAGGGCCCGGCTGGAGTGGGCAGGGCAGCAGAGCAGGCCTAGACGTGCTGACATGAGTTGGGCGGGCACCTTGCCCCAGGGCCAGATGGCCTCCAAGACTGAGCCGTCAGCCACACTGCCTCACACGAATGGCCTAGACAGGCTCCCAGCCTCCCTCGCACAGGTTCCCCGACCAGGGCCCTGCCCTCCCACGACCCCCATTCCTACCCTAGGCTTCCTGGTCTTGACGTCCCCGGCGAGCCCTCCCACCTGCAGGCCTCCACGTGCCTCTGGGTGTTTGAGCACCCCACCCCAGCTGAGCCTCACTTTCCCCATCCCAGGCTCTGGCTTCAGTCAAAGAGCTGGGTCCTGGGCAGCCCCAGCTTTCCCATCCATAAAATGGGCATTCTGGGACTCACACTATTTCCCAGCCTATAATGACAGGGCTGAGGGCTTTGATGTCCCAGATGAAAGGCCCCCCCCCCAGGCTCCCAGGCCAGTCCTGGAACAGAGGATTCCTTGTCCAGAAGAGCAGGTGCCGCCCTCCATGGGGAACGTGGGCTGTGGGAACCAGGACCCACCCAGCCAGACCCCAAGGCCAGGCATCCCCAGCGTGGACTACAACAGCCTTGCCACGAGGGCAGTGAGGGTCAAGGGTAGAGGGATGGTGGCCAGACAAGGGAGGGTTCTGTAGTGTTCCCTGCAGAAGGGAAGCGCCCACCCGTCCCCTACCAAGCAGGTGACACGGTTACGGGGCCAGGCCCAGACCAGGGGCCTCCTCAGCCTTTCCTGGCCCCGCCTGGGCCAGTGTTGTGGGTCCTGAGAGCAGCATCCCTGGCAGGCCAGGGTCTGCCCACACCATGTGCAGGACCACGCACAGGCAGGCTGCTCGGCTCCTCCCCGAGAACCTCCTGCCGGCCCCAACTCCACCACACCGTGCCAAGCCCAGGGAAGTCCTCTGCCAGACAGCAGCCTGGGTGGCTCTTGGCAGGCTGAGAACAAACTCGCCCTTCCAGAAGTCTGGGCTGTGCTGGAGCCAAACCTCAGGAGACCTGGGTGGGGGGCTCAGGGGCCACCTCCCCAGTTAGCCTGCGACCCCACCCGAGGCTGGAGGCCACGCCTGTGGCCTGAACACTCCTGTGTCCTGACCCACACGTGGGACAGCAAAGAGGGCCCCGTAAGGAAACGCAGTCCCCTCTCCATCCTTGCTTCATTCTTCAGCAAGTGCCCCCAAGTCCCCTGGAGCCCACCTATGCCACTGGGGTGTGACAATCCATGACTCAGAGCTGTGGCCCTGCTGAGGCTGGGAGAGGAGACCACACAGGTGTGGCGGAGGGGAGGGGCCCACACGTACCGCCTGGAGCCGGGGAAGGGCACCCAGCCAAGCCAGCCCCGGGGGTCCCAAGCACAGCGGCTGCCGACTTAGCTCCCGGGAGGGCGGGGTGTAGTGCACACGCACTGGGGCCAGGGAAACGGTGCCCCGTGGAGGCTGCCTGGACCAGGCCCAAGGCAGAGCAGGCTGGGTGGGGTGGGATGGAGGCTGGTGCAGCCTCAAAGACCTGGGGTGCGGTGGTGGCAGGGACCAAGGAACAGGCTTGGGGGACGAGGGTTGCTTCAGTGGGACCCTGAGCACCTGAGAAGGGAGCCCAGCTCTGTGAGCCCACGGCAGGTCCCCTAGAACACTGGGGCTCGGACCAAGAAGTGAGGCCGAGACAGAGCTAGGGTCGGGGTCACTAGAGAGCCGGCTGCGTGGGTGGGGGCTCCTGCCAGCTCTGGGGCCTGGGCCTTGATGTGCCCACAGGGGCACGGTGCCTCCCAGCAGGCGAGCAGGGGACGAAGGGAAGACCACAGCCCTCCACAGGGGTCACTGTCACCCGACTCCAGCTCCCCAGATGTCACACCCTGCAGTAAGGTTCCTGGCCCGGGACCCCAAAATCCTAGCAGCACACAGAAGAGAGGGCATGGGGGTTGGGGAGAAAACTAGGTTTGAGCCCCAGCTGTCACTTTGGTGGCCCCTGTCCTGTGCAGTGGCCCCTGCTGCCCGCCCCTTGCCCCAGGGGCCCTCAGTGGGAGGACAGCACATCCTGGACCCCGTGAACCTGGGAGCCGTGAGAACAATCAATGCTTCTTTATTCACAAAAACGGTAGCAAGATGTTATCTACACATTTGTACAGAGGTCCAGACACCCTATAAAATGCGACAGAAAACAGGCCTGTGGTGTGGGGGCATCACACAGGCCGCAGGGCCCCTTGTCTGCATTTGGGGACATGCACTTTCCAAGGACCCCTACCCTGTGCGGGCACCCCCAGCAAGAGTCCGGCCCAGAATATCTTTGTAGAAAACCATAAAAACATAGATCATTTGTCTTCAAATTCCCACTGCAAACTCCATGTTAATAGGCAAAATGATACAAAAATAGGAACCCAACAGAACGTTTAGAAAACCCTAACCCCTGTCTCTGGCAGGGGCGGTTGGTTTCGTGGTGGATTTTTTTGCTTGTGGTTTTGGTAAGAATTCCTGCCGTGGAAGAAGGCATCGTGTGTGCGTGGCCTGGCCCTCACCCGGACCCTCGGCCTCCTCGGGACAGAGCAGGTGGTCAGGGAAGGACAGCGTCCCGCTCCAAGGACCCCGCCACTGCAGGCGGGAAGGTTTGAAGGCTGCTGACGCCTGCTCTGCCAAGAGGAAGCCACTGCAAAGGAAAAGAAACCCGATCCTGACCAGGGGCCGTGACCCCAGGGCCGTCCTGCTACAGACTGCCCGCTGTACAAGGCGAGGTCAGACATGAGCAGCTGAGCACAGCTGCCTGAGCACGGGCCCAGCCCACGTCTGCTGGTGTCGTGTGTCCATAGCACCAAATGCAAAAGGAGAAGAGTCCAACTCCAGGTTAAAGGCACTTGTGTGGCTATCTGCGTGGCCACCGCCCTCCACTCTCCCCGCCCTACTCGCTCATCCTTGGCCGCCAGCCCCCTCCCACGCCGCATCCCCTCTCGGAGACTCCTGGGCCTGCGCAGACCCTGTCGCATCCTCACCCTCACCCTCACCCCCCGCACATCCTTGATCCCTCTCACGTCCTCGTGTCCCGCATGCCCTGCACATCCCATCCCCTCCCCTCTGGCACACAGCTCAGACGTCCACCTCCTGGGCCCCTGGCACCGTGGCAGTGGTGGTGACGCTGATGTCAAAGCAGGTGACCATCATGACGTGAGCCTTGCACAAGTTCACGCACTGCTCCAGTGCGGCTGTGGCACGCTCCAGAGCCACCAGGTACTCAGCCGACTCGGGCTCCAGCTCTGGGTCCACCTCGACTAGAGAGGGCCAGGACAGGGTCACGATGGGGACCAGGCGGCAGCCAGGTCCCCCGAAATCCCAGGAAAGGTGCCCGCCTGGGGGGACCTCACCACCCACCACCTCTAGAAGGACAGCAGCTGGAAGGCAGAAATGGGAGCAGCCGGCAGGCGGGGACACAACAGACCAGGGAACAGGGCAGGGAGCAGGGTCTGGGCTTGGGGGCGGAACGCCCGGGACACTCACACTGCTCCAGCCAGCGGCCCGGCTCCACCATCAGCCGACCCTGCGTCTCAGCCAGCTCCTCGCAGAGGTGATCACGCTTGGCCTGGACCTCCTGCAGCCGCTGCTGCCTGCGCTCGGCCAGCCGCAGCTTGGAGCTGACACACACCAGGCCCTGTGACGAGGACAGGTAGGCTCAGATGTGGAGCCGGAGGCTCTCTCTTGGGGACACCCAGCACCCCAAGTCTCCTCTTCCTGCTGGCCTGTGCAGGGACACTGGAGGCCTCCACATGGGCAGGCAGACTGGGGAACCCTCCCCGCCACGGGCAGCCTCCAGACTCCTCCTGCCACGTCTGCCTGAGGGGACACCGCGGCCACTGCAGGTACCAGCTGCACAGGGCCAGTCCCTACCTTCTCCAGTTCCTGGGAGGGCTGTGGACAAGAGGAGAAGGGTGGTCAAGAGTGCCTCTGTGGGTTCACTCTGCCACCCCAGGCTCCCAGCCTCCACCCCTCACCCCAATGTGGGCTGGGTCCTCCCGCAGAGGCAGCCGGTGCCGCTGTAGCCGCGCCACGTCATCGATCTCATACACCTTGATCTCGAAGGGTTCCTTCAGAGAGCCAGCCAGAGGTGGGGGCAAGTCCACCCACTGCCCTGGCAGGGCGGGCTTGCGGCCCAGGGCAGTGGCATCGGGCAGTGGGGCTGGGATCAGCCGCCGCCGCTGCAGACCTGGAAGAGAGGACCAGGCGCAGGTAGGCAGAGGCCACGCACCCTGGGTCCCAAGTCCCAGACCTGACCATGTTCAGTCGGACGGCCACCCCGGCTGCTCCCACTGACACAGCTCTGTAGCACCGAGTGCCACGCAGCTCATTCATAGCCTCCTGGCGCCCAGTGCCCAGGGAAGAAAGAGGCCAGACTGCTGCCCCCCTACCCCAGAGCAGTCCTGGCAGACTCCCAGGCAGCTGGGACACTCAAGGGATGAGGGGACCCAGCTCACACCGAGCCCTCACCCGCTCCCAGGACTTCCCCTGGGACCCTGCCCGAGGCTGCCCGACCAAGGTGAGGACCAGGCACTAGAGTAGCGAGGGGATCAAAGGGCAGTGCTGGGTATGAGAATAAGCTAGAGGGCTGTGCCTGCTGCAGGGTGGCACCACCCACCTGTGGCCCTTTTCTTGGGGGACTTGAGGCTGCGGGAGCGGGCGCCCAGCGAGGCAGCCCCACTCTCACTCGTGGAGTCGGGGGCCGAGGACGCGCTGCCTGTGGCCTCGCTGTCCCGCATCATGCTCTCGTAGCCGCTGCTGCCGCCGCTGTGGTAGAAGAGCGCCGTGCGGCCCATGGCGGGCGGGAGCTCGCCGCTCAGCACGCTGCTGTTGTCACTGCCGTGCCCGCTGCTGTAGCGCTGGGGCCGCCTGGGTGCGGTCACCTTGCTGTAGGGGGACGGCAGGGCGGGGCCCACAGGCGGCCGCTCCTCCGCCACGTTCACGCCACTGTCGTTGCCACTGTCCGAGTCTGCAGAGCCCCACAAGGGGCTACCTCGGCCAGGGGCCCCGCTGGCCGCCAGCTCATGGACACGGTTGTGGGCAGCCCGGAGTGCCTGCTTGGTGCCCATGATGGTGCCCCGGCCAGCCTTGGACCCGATGCCAGGCGCAGCCCGTGGGGCTGCTCGGGGACCTGTCCCAGGGCCGCCAGGGGGCCTGCCAGCGACCGGGGCCAGCGGCTTCACAGACCCACCCAGAGCCCGAGAGCCTCCGGCCACAAGGCTGCGGCCTTTGGTCCCACTAGCTGGGGGCTTGGGGGCTCCCGTAGTCTTAGCTGGGCTGCCTCGGCAAGCTGGGGATGGCCCGGGTGTGGGACTGGCAGACGGCACGCCCAACCTGGGCACAGCCCGAGGCAGCCGTCCGGGGCCTTCCCGGGCCTTGCTGCTGCTGTGTGCCAGGCCCTCATACCGCTCCAGGGACATGTGGCCAGCAGGGCGGTGGGCCACTTCCATCTTGCCTGCCCGAGCCTTGAGGCTGGACGTGGCCTTAGGAATGGCATGGTCAGCCCGGCCACTGGACCGGGCCTCCTGCTCCCCACAAAAGGTGGCAGCAGCCCCCACCCGGGTGAGGCCTGGGGCCTGGACGGGGGCCTGGGACGGGCTGCTTTGCTCCAGGCTGGACTTGCGCACAGGAGGGGCTGGGGGAGCCACCCCCCCAGGCCTCGGGAAGAAGCCCCCCTTGGGAGCCAGGCTTTTCTTGCTGCCAGGGGAGCCCTTCAGGCCGGTGGAGCAGACAGCCGCCTCGGCCACAGTATCCCTACAGGACATGGCAGGTGTGGTCACCCCCAGGGTGGTGGCGCCCCGCCGCAGTGGTGGGATCCAAGCCACAGCCTCCGGCCTCCGGGCTGCCCTGGCCACCACCGCACAGCTGTCCACCACCCTCTGGGCACAAGCCGGTCCTGCCTGTGCCTCGGGGAGCCCGGGGGACCCCAGGGTCGGGCTGGGGGCATCACAGTTATCTGCACGGAGCAGCCAGGGGTCCTCAAACAGGCTTCTAGGGCTGGGCGGGCTCCGGCCAGGGCGAGCACAGGCCGCGCGGCCAGCAGCAGAGGGGGTCCTGGGCTTTCGGGGAAGGCTGGAGTGGATGGTCTGGGCTACGGCAGCACCCTGTGAGGACCCAGCCCAGGGCTCCCAGCCAGCTCGGGCCAGTCCCGCTGCAGCTGCTTCCCCAGCACGAGGACTCGGGGCTGGACCAGAACCATTGGGCCCACCCTGTGCAGCAGACCTGACACCCCCATCCAGGGGGCTGCCCCAGACACAGGGCTCTGGAGGCCCAGGCCCCACCGGCGCATCAGAGCTGAAGGGAGGCTGTGGCGTGGGGCTGCGGCTGATGGCTGTACAGGCGCCAACCTCGTTGAGCCAGGAGCCCACAGAGGAGTTGTAGCTGCCTCCTGGACACGGTGCCCCCGCCAGTGGCCCCCCAGGGCCATCAGGGCCCAGGGAGGTGTAGGCGTCAAACTCGTCATTGATACTGCTGATGATGCTGACCGGCCTCGAGCCCGAGGCCAGGGCCTGCAGAGAGCAGTCGCTGCCAAAGCTGGCCAGGCTGGAGGGCCGTGTGGCACCTGCCAGCCCCCCCAGGGGCAGCTCCTCCACCACCGTGAACACCAGCTCGTCCTCACCGTTCAGCTCCACCGGTTGCTGCAGGGTCACTGTGGTGGTAAGCAGGCCCCGCTCCAGGCGACGGCCGCGTGCAGATGGGCAGGGGCAGACTGAGTCTGGGGCCCGTGGGAGCCGCCCCTGCCCGCTTGTGCCCACAGGGGGCGTCCGCATCACTCCATTGGTGCCCCCAACCCCGAGTTCCACAGGGGATCCCAGGGCTTCCGGCCCCGCGGGTGCTGGGAAAGCTGGGCTGGGCAGCAGCCTCTGGTCTCCACCTCCCACAGCCTTGTCCAGGGCCAGTGGCTCATGCTGGGAGCAGTCATCCTCTTGCTGGTCACCCTGGGCACCAGCTCTGGAAGGTTCAGGGACGCCTTGGTGGGTGTCTGGGCCAGGGCTGCCTCGAGGGGTGCTGGTTGCCATTGGGGGACCCACGGCCTTCCTGGGGAGTGCGGCCTCAGGCGGTGAAAGCTTCCTGCCTCCTTGGGCTGGGCTGGCCTGGGCTCTGTCGCTGCCGCCCAGGGACCCAGGGGCACCCTCACTACCATCGATGCACTCCAGCCGCTCCTGCAGCTCTGCGAATGTGCTGCAGCGGAAGTGGTCGGCGTCTCGGGGGCCCTCGGAGGGCCGCCGGCGGCTCAGGGAGGGGATGATGGGCACGAAGTCTGGAGGGCCCTCGTTGTCGGTGAGCTCGCGGTCTGACAGCGCGGTCCCCCCGGGCCCCACGTAGATGACTGTGTCGCAGGACTGCTCGCTGCTGGACGAGTAGTCAGGGTCGCCGGGCAGGCCAGGCACCAGGCGGTCAGGGTCCAGGGCCGCTGCACGTGAGTGGAAGGGCCGCAGGTGGGGGACGCGACGGGCCCGGCCCTCTTCACAGGAGCTCTCCCCGCCCGAGGAGCTGGACGCCTGCTGGGGGTGGCAGCATGGGACCCTGTGAGTGCACCCCACCTCCAGCCAGCTCAGCCCCACTCCCACCTCCTCCCTGCAGCACCAGGCCACAGTCCCTGTAGCGTCACCATGGCAGAGGCCACACGGCTTGGCCGACCCAGTGCTGGGAACTGCACAGAACTCTGCCCACCACCACGTGGTCGCAAAGCAGACCCAGGACTTGGACCTGAGGCAGTCCGGCCTGAGAAGGCCCCGAACTCCACCCTCAGGCCTGTGAAAGGTGCCTAGGAAGCCCCTTGCCAGGGTGGTGCCAATGTCCCGCTGCCCCAGGGTCTGCCATGGGTCCAGGGATCCACCAAGCCCACAGCAGGCAGCTCCGGCTGTGCCACTTGGGAACTCAGCTGTGGCTCCCTGCTCCCTCCTGGCAGAGACCAGGTACCCCAACACCAGCCTGGGCACCCCTGCCTGCATGGAACCTGCTGATAACACAGTAGCCTGGGCATGCAGCCTGGGCAGCAGCACAGAGGCCCCACCTTGGCCTTCTTCCTGCGCAGACGGTGGATGCGGGCGGCCAGCTGCACAGTGCTGAGCGTCTCAGCGTGGTGGGCCGGCGCGTCTGACACGTGGGCGATCATGGTGGTGCGACAGCTGGTGGTGGCCAGGGACTCGCGCAGCAGCACAGTGAGCCTGTGATCCCTGGGGACCAAGGGAGGCACCCTTAGGGTGGGACGCTGGGTGCAAGGGAGACCAGCTGACCTGGAGCCCCGGGCCTGTCCTGGGCTCCACCTGCCTGGCGCCCACACTCACCTGTAGGGCACATGTTTCGCCCCATTGACCAGAGCCAGGATGACACTGCCCAGGGCCGACAGGGACAGACTCAGGGAGCCCCCGGCGGCCTCCTCGCCCCTGCCGGGCGCCGTCTCACAGCTGCCCAGGTCGATGAGGTGCAGGCGGCTGCGGCCTCCAGACACTGGAAAGCAAGGTGGTGGTGACAGCCTGGCTGGGGAAGCCGCCCCCAGGACCCCGGTGGTGGTGGTGGTGGCACTTACTTCCCCCCTGGCCACACTTCTCCACTCGGTACTGGTAGATGTGCAGCGTGAAGAGCAGGTGGGAGCTGCGGCCCCTGTCCTCCCCACCAGCCCGGGAGCTGCGGGCAGCCAGCGCTGCGTCCAGGTAGAAGGCCGCCTTCTCCGCCGTGGGCGCCCGCAGCTCACTTTGGTTCTGCAGCTGCAGGAGGCGGAGGGGACGAGGGCTTTAGGAGCGCAGGCCCAGCGTGGCCCCCACCCCACCCATCCTGTGGCCTCAGGAAGGATGGTGGCCTGCGCACCTGTGTCCCACAGGCCGGGTCTTCCCGTAGGTACACGCCCGGAGACTGGGCATCCTGGACGCTGCTGGAGGCCACGTCAGCCAGCAGGTCCCGTAGGCTCTGGTCCCGGCCGCACACCTCCAAGGCCGAGACACGGATGGAGAAGCGCGTGCCCGTCCTTTCCCTGCGCTCCTCTACCAGGCGGAAGAGCCAGGAGATGGCGCAGGGCACCACGCCCAGGCTCTGGGGTGAGCTGTCCTTCCCGATCATGGTGTACGACTTGCCTAGGGGCCACAGGGCACGTGAGGGTCCACCCTGGTGCCACATGAGCCCTCAAAGCTCAGCTAGACCTCAGGGCCATGCCCAGCCCCGCCCAGGGTTCTCGGCCAGGCCTTTGCCTTCTCTGCAGGCCTCAAATCCCCCACAACGATGGCCCCTGTGCCTGTCACTGTGTCCACGGCAACACCCTCCTTCCCCACCCAGGCGTGGGGCCTGGCCACTGCAGCAGTGAAGGTGGCAGGGGAGTGTAAGAACAGGGTGACCAGACTGCTCACCAAGGCTCCTGTGGCCAAAGGAGAAGATGCAGCCGTCAGCCCCACCGACCACAGACTGGAGCACGTCGGCCATAGTCCCAGAGCAGACCTCGGCCTGGAGGGGACCAAGGGTCAGGCAGGGCCAGGGTGGGGGTTGCAGCCACTGCCTCTGCCCCTCCCGTAAGCCCAAGGCCTGTCAGTCCCCTCACCCGAAGCGTGCCAGCCCCTGGGGCAGGCACAGGACCACATGCAGACAGCACACAGAATACATGACACACACTGGGTTTGGTGGCAGGACATGTGCACACCCCCATTACACATGGGGACACACATTTCATAATGCACCTGTGCACATCTCCCATAAGACACATGGGCACACACACACCACCCCATAGTGCACCTGTGTGCACACACATCCCATAACAAACCTGTGCACACTCATATAAACCATGGCACACCCGTGCACACCCCCCATAACAGAGCTGCTGCTGCTGCTGTGGACACACCGGGACATGACAACACACGTGAGACATGGTCACGCTGTGCAGCACAAGGGGTCGGGAGGAGTGGCTCTGCATCCAGGGTAAGAAGGCGCTGCTCAGAAGGCTTCCCAGGAAGGTGGGCGTGGAGGCCCTGGGGCTTCCCAGTGAAGACAGCGCAGGGGCCTGGCCGGCGACTGGTACCCTCTGCCCTTTCTCCCCCACTCCCAGACTTGACCATTACCTGCTCCGAGTCCGCAGGGAAGACAGCGTCAAAGGCAAACATCCTGGGTACCGCTGTCGTGGCTGCACGCCGCAGGCCCACACCCCCTGCGGGTCCGGAGACTGGGTCGTAGAGGGTCACCTGCTTCTTCCGGGGGTCCACCTTCAGGAAGGACGCAGACTCTGCTGAACGCTGGGCGCCCTGTGTCGGCCAGATGCGCAGCATGACTTTCACCTGGGGCAGGAGAGCAGGCTCTGAGCGCCTCGCCCGCCCAGCTGGCCACTAATTACAGGGCAGGAGGAGCGGCGCGAGTTGGGACGGCGGAGCAGGCCTCGGCGTGGGCACCGACAGCAGGAATGCGGCTGGATCGGCTCCCCATGAGGTCAGCAGGCACGGAGAACACGAAGCCCCGGGCAGGCAGACGGGGCTGAGCACGGGGTGGCAGCAGACTCCGGACACCCCCATGAGCAGAGGAGTGCGGCTGAGAGGAGGGTCATGCCATGGACCCAGAGGCTCTTCTAGGGCCTCCGTCCCCAGCAGTCCAGCCCCTGGCCAAAGACCCTCAGGGCCCTGGGGGACCGGAGACTGCAAGAGCAGCTGCGGATGACAAGTGAAGAAGCACTCATGGCAACGGGCCTCAGAGGGCTGGGAGGTCCCGGTGGGCTGGGGCATCGCCAGGGTCACTGCCTCTGGCCAGGGTGGGCAGGATGAGGGTGGGTCTGAGCCCTGCAGACGGCAGTCACCTGGGCTTACAGCAGGACCCATGGTGCAGCTCTAGAGCACGCAGCACAGCCCCAAATGTACCTATGGAGGGAGCACAGGGCTGACGGGGCATGAGCCAGGGCCCAGGGCAGGCTGCCGCAGGCGCCCCGAAGCCTGTGCGGAGAACAGTCAGCAGGCTTCATCTCATGTGCACACGAAGCCTCTGGGTGGGGTGGCCCAGCAGCCAGGCGCTATTCCCACGAGCACCCTCACAGCCGGGCACCCACTCCAGCTTCTGCTGGAGGACACTGCCGTCCACTCTCTGGGAGACTCGCTGACGGCCCCACGTTGGTGTAAATCACATTACCGGAGACTCATTTCAGAGCCAATATTTTTCACAGGTTTAATTGTAAGTGACAGATACATAACGCTGGCGAAATTGGTTTACCGCAGTAGGGCACACAGGCACCAGCCCCTCCCCTTGGGCGTGGGCGCCTGGACATGCAGACCCCGCCCCCGCCGTCAGGGAGCAGTGGGGAAGATGCTCGCTATTGTGCTGCTGAGGACCTGGGCTCCACCAGGCGAGAATCGATTCTTTTATTCCCCCGACGGCATGAACAAAACTATTTCATTTCCAAACGCCACTGCAAAGCAGACGAAAATGTGCACTTCCGGGTAATTTCTAGCAATTTTCCTCCAGCGTGAACTCCCCACCACTTCAGGAGCCAAATGGGTTCTGGAGATTTGAGAGAATTCCTGGCAGGGAGGAGAGGCCAGGAGAAGCAGGGACGCAGCTCTCACATCTGATGACTGCCTCTAATCCCAGGTCGACCCGCAGCCAGGCAGGGAGGGGACCAGGCAGGCAGCGGCCATCCGGGCCGCCCCCTGCTACCCCCATCCCAGCATCGGGCCACTGTCTGATGCCACAGAACCTGTCATTACAGCGGGAAAATGACAGGGTCTTTGCGGGAGACAAGCTCATTGAGTCTCTCCCCCAAATGTGCAGATATCACAAAGCCGGGGAGGGAAAAACACATTTTGCATAAAAAAAAAAAAAAAGGGCTTCCAGCTCCCTGAGGTGGCCAAGGCAGGCAGGGGGAGGGGAGCCGCTCAGCACCCACCGCGAGAGGGATGTCTTTCTTAATACCACACTATGATGAATTATCTTAAGTAGCACATTAATGTCAGAAATTGAGCGCAATCTAACTTCTTTCCTGTGACAATATTAAACGCCTTTCAAGAGGCATTTCTGACTATGCGACATTAGTGCTAATCACACTCGCGGTAGAGGAGGGGCGGGCACAAGGAGTGCAGACTGCGAGGCTGGCAGCCAGGGCCTGGGCCTTGAAGCCAGACCCCCGGAAACAAGGCTGATGTCACCCCTGCAGAATACCTGGGCAGGGCCTGGCCCCCAGTATCCTGGAACAGAACAGCCGGACCTCCGCGGGGCCCTCCAGCAGTGCTGCCAGCTGGAGGCAGCCCTGTCCTCCACCCACTATGCCATAGTTGGGGAGAAGCCTGGGCACAGGCAGGCCAAGTGTCCAGGCCAGCAGAGGCCAGGACAGGAATCCAGTGCCAGGCTGACACCTGTCCTCCCTGTCCCCAGTCCAGCCCCCTGACACCCCTCCCCCACCAGGCCAAGCCCTGTAAAACCCCAGGCACAGTCATCTGGCCAGTGGAGGCTGCCACTAGTCAAGGGTCAGCCCTGGGCCTACCTACCTCCTGCTCACAGCCTCGCCCTGGGGGACACTGAAGGGACACAGCCCACACACAGGGTGGGGGCAGCCAAGGCCTGGCAGGTGGGCAGTCGGGCACAGCATCCCTCCCCTTGTCCCTCCGGTAGCACAGGCCACCTGCTACCCAGCACCTTCCCAAGGCAGGCAGGGACCTCCCCCGGGATCACGGTGCCACCCTTGCCCCAACCCCTAGGCCGGGTGGCTTGGACAGAATGAGGGGCTCCTGCGTGTCCACATGAGGACCCAGAGACAGACATGGTCAGCTGGACCCAGAGGGGGAGGCAACTGCAGACCTACACAACCAGAGGAGGCTCCAGAGACAGGCAGCTCACTGGGCAAACTCCATGCCCCAGGGCCAGGACAGCTATGGGGCTTGAGGCCAGCTTCCCACACCCAGGCCTAGCACAGCACTGGGCCCCCCATAGGCCACTGCCAGCCCAGGCCTCACGAGAAAGCCATGAGATGAATGCATCCCCACAGGGAGGAGCCTGGCATGTTGGCCTCAAGCCCCCAGTCAGTGTTCAGGGGTACAGGGGGGCCAAGCCCAGAGTGCTGTAAGGCCCTGGCCCCCAGCCAGTTTGCTCCAGACCCCCCCCCCCCCGCACAATCCCAGGGTAGCAATCCTGGCTGTCCAGGGTCCGGAGATGCCTGTGAAGCTGGCCCAGGGTTACAAGGGCTGATGGGATAAGAAGAGGCCACCCAGGTCAGAGCTGCGAAGGCCCGGCAGGCACTGGCCATGGCTAGAGGAAGAGCCCTCTCAGCCTGGCCAGGCCAGGCCTCTGCCAGCACCTCAGCTTCCTCTCCAGACCCCAGCCCTGGGAGCTGCAGCCCCTGGGAGCTGGGGCCAATGGCCTGCGCTGACCACCTGTGCAGTTGGAGCCCCCCGGGCCAGTGCCCCCTGCACAGGGCTGGGCAGGAGCAGGGCAGCCCCAACCCCACCATTCCCAGGGAAAGGTCCAGGAGAAGCCCAGCGTCCAACCTCTGCCCTGGCTGTGGCCCTGGCTGCCGACCCCACTGGGGCAATCCCATAATTCCCTGCCCTGCAGGACTCAGACTGGGTGCGGGCACTTCCTGTGTCACCAAGGTGCCCCGGGACCCGTCTTCCACAGCCCCAGCCCCACACAGTTCCCCAGGCTCCCAGGTGCCCCTTGGCATGACTCCCCGAGCCTCAGTCTGCCCATCTGTACCCATGCCAACCAGCCTCATCCAGCCTGGAGAATGAACCAGGCCCCGATTTCCCACAGCTTCTGTGACCCCCAGGTCCCTCCCAGGGTCACCCAGCCTCGCACCGGGTCTACCTTTCCGAAGCTGCCTGGGTTGTCCTTGGCCTTGGAGGCCGCCCTGAGCAGGCAGGGTGGCACTGGGGGTGGGCACAGCTGAAGGACACCGCTGAAGTTGGTGGGGTAGGTGGAGGCGTTGCGGGGTGTGGGGGTGGGTGCTGGGTGGTGCTTCTTGCGCTTGGAAGCCAGGCTGAGCTTCTGGGCGGCCCTGGGGAAGAGAGAGTGGCTCAGCGGGCCCCGCGCTGTCCTGTGACCGCGCCACTGCGTCCACACACACCCCGGGCCATCCCAGCTCAGGCCCGCCAGCCTTGCCACAGAGTAACAGCCAGAACTGTGGCTGCGCACACACACTTCTCAAAGTGGGGTCCCTGGGGCCCCCGGCATGCCCCTCTGCAGCAGCTCTGCTCAGCACACAGCAGGCAAGGGACAGAGAGGCCAGGCAGACAAAGCAAGTACCCAGGCTGCAGCAGCTGCTTGCAGGCAGCAGGACCTGGGCACGTGAATTTGGCCTCCCTGTGCCTCAGTTTCCCCCTCTCTAACATGGGGGCCTCCTGTGTGGACCCAATGAGCAAATATACTCACGGCATTCAGCATAGCACCCCCACACAGGAGGCGCTTAACTAATGCTGCTATCAGGGTTGGTGCTCTGCATCAGGGCAGGGACGTCCCCAGACCTGGAACCTCTGCTCCAGCACACCTGGCTCCGGCACAGGCTCCGGGTGCCAACACTGGGCCCACCCGAGACACACATGCACACACACACGCACACGCACACGCACACGCCTCGGCTTGCACACAATCCAGCCCCTGGACCTGGGGCCTTCCTGCAAGCTAACTTACTCTGCTGATCTCCAGCCTTTCCCAAGCGTTCCCCAGCCCCAACTCTCCCTCCCACTGCACAGAGCTGGGGTCCACAGGGCCATGCCCCAGAGTTCTCCCTCCCAGGACCCAGGGACACCACTCATGAGAAAATGCACCTGTGGCCCCCGCAGGCCCCTCTCCCTGGACTGGTCACCTCCTCCCAACAGAAGAGCCCAGCAGCCCCCTCCACCCCCATCCTAAGTGCCCACCTACTCCCCGGCCCCGTGGGCCTCTCAAGGAGGACAGGGTGCAGGTGGCTTCTCTGCAGCCCCTGACGTCCCCCCAGGGCTGTGCCAGCCTCCGCCCCGCCTCCCACCGCAGGGGCGTGATCTACCGCGCACTTTGCTTAACTCCTCTCATCGTTAATAGGAGTTGTCTTTTAAGACACCCCAGGGATGCCTTCCTTCTCTCGAGGTGTCATCGCAGAGAATAAAAGTAATCTATGATTCATGCCGGAGCCACGGCGGGTGCTCCTGTCGCTGGGAAGGGCCAGGTGAGGGGCGGAGGTTGCAGGCCGGGGAAGGTCTCTGGTGGCAGTGGAGGTGTCTGGACCCTGCAGACCCACAGCCTTGGGCATCGTGAGCACCCAACACCCACACCCCACTGCCTGAGCCAGGGGCTGGCAAATCCCACACACGGCAGGAAGCCACGGACAGAGACAGGTAGCACTTCGCCCATAGCAGTGTGAAAAGTCGAGAGAACGTGGTCCCCAGGAAGTGGTGCAAACCCCGAGGACCAGGGAAGGGGCGCAGGCTGCAGGGTAAGCAGTGTCGGCCTGGGGCCCATGGTTGGTGCTCCACATTAGGGCAGGGATGGCCTCGATCCCAAACCTCGCCCCAGTGGCTTCCCCAGCAGTCAGCAGGAAGAAGCTACAGGCCACCTCAGAGACCACAAGCACAGACAGGGCAGCTCCACTGCGCCCACCCAGCACTGCCCAGCCCTGGACTCACAGGAAGGACACCTCAGGCCAGGAGCCCGGCCCACCCAGGCAGAACAAGGAGGCCCAGGCAGGGTCTTGTCTGTAAATGGGGGCCACACCTGACCTGGGATTCAGGAAAGGGCTCTCACAAGGCCTGCTGGGCATGGAGGGTACATCTCACCCCAAAGGGGACGGTCAGCCATGGCCAGCCCAGCCCTACCTTAGGTCACTGGCTCAGGGCACAGCCTGCTATGGGGGCAGTACCCCTTGCACCCACACACCATGCCCCTAATGTGCAGGGCACCCGGAGGCAGGGAGGACTGTGAGTGGCCAGGGGCACAGGGGACTGCAGCAAGGTCCAAGCAAGAGACCATGGCCGGCTCCACTCCTCTGCGCCCTTCCAGGACCAGAGGTCTGCAGCACAGACCTCAACCACACCAGGCTACCCTGGGGACCCAGGAGCCTGCACGGTAGGTTTCAGCCAGGCACCTAACCGAGTGCCTCCTCCCTGACCGCCAACAGCCCCAAAGGGCTGGGAGCCACCAGGCCGCTCCCCAAGCACCCGCCCAGCCTTCAGGTACCTGCTTTCACAATGCCTGTCGCTGCTTGAACAGCACTTCCTCCTCTGATGAAATCCAGGCCCTGTGAGACCGAGACCAACTCCCAGCAGCCCGTCAACACCCCACGTGGACACTGTACCTGGCTCCTCAGCCGGCAGAGCTTGGGAGCCAGGCCTACACTCTAGGCACTGCCTGTGGGGGTGATCTTTGGCTTCTGAATGAGGTGAAACAGCAGAGGGTGACACTAGGACCCACCAGGGCAGAGCTTCCCCACTGCAGAAGAACGGGGCCAACAGGCTGGGCAGGCTGGGCCTACCCTCTGTCCACTCAGGACCTGACCCCACAGTACTCCAGCCCTTCCCCACATCTCCTGGGACCTCTCCTGGAGGCCACAAGCAGGTGACAGAGAGGCTCTCCTGCCTGCCTGGCAAAGATTCCAGGAGTCCACACAGTGCCCGCCCTGGCCCTGCCCTCTGGGGTCAGCCTGGATGCCCAGGCAGACAACACAGCTCTCCAGGAGCCTGTGGGCTGTGGGCACAAGTGGGGGGCTGTGCTGGCAGGAAGCCACACTGGTCCCCACCCAAGGCCAGCCCCGAGATGCCTGGATTCTGGGTCCCAAAGGGCAGAAGGGCAGGCATGCAGGCAGCGCGACAGGGTGTGGCACAGCGGGGAGACCGCAGCTGGCTGGGCAGGTGCTGGCACAGCTGCCCAGGGAGCAGGAGGACTTGGGTCACGGATACGGGGTCCACAGGACTCAGCGGCAGCGGCCCTGCTCTCAGCCCTGCCTCCAAGTTCTGGGCACTGGCATCCTTGGCTTCCCATCCAGAGGGAAGGCCCGAGGTGGGCAGAGGACCCGGAAAGGCTCAAGGCCGGTGCTGGGGAAGTACTGGGGCGGGCAGGGGCAGAGCCAAGACTCACCTCAGGGCTGCAGGGTCCCAGAACCCCACTGCTGACACCCACCCCACTTTGCCTGTTCAGCAAATGCACCTGCTGGCTCCTACTCAACCCTCAGTGCCCACCCCACAGCCCACAGCAGGGAGGCAGACCCCTGCCAGAGCCCCACTGCCATCAAAGCCACCTCCAGGTGCCCCTCCCCAAGAGCAGGGTGAGCAGGCTGCCTGCCCCCCAGTCCTGGGGTGGAGGTAGAGGCAGGGACACAGGACACTGCCGGGCATTGGCCTTTTCTCTGGGGCAGGAGCTGGGCCCTGCAATCCCTCTGTGCTCTGGCCAATTCACTGCCCCCTACAGCTGGGACATAGCCCCTAAACCCCTATCCTCTCACCCCTGCTGGCTAAGGACCCCAGCCCAGGGCCCACGGTGGCCACCACGGCCTGCTGGGACACCTACCCAAGCAGGGCCTCGCACGCCCCCCACTTGCAGTGTGACTCAGAGTGCCTAGCTGGCTGGAAATAACTGCAGCAGGCAGGCCCGTGAAAATTTGCCTCACGGCCCAGCTCTTGTTTCTTCGTTTCTATGGCAACTCCCCAAGGTCAGCGGTATGGCTCAGGCAGAGCAACACCAGCCTGGTTCAGACAAAAGGCGGCTGCTCCGGTCGCTAATGAGCCGGCGTGGGGGGCCACCCTGCCAGGGCTCTTCTCCCCTACGAAAAGACCCGCCCCCCCCCGCCGTAGCCACAGGGCCTCAGGTGCAGGTGGCCCCCAAGACATTCTTTCTTTCCAGAGGTCCCCCCCATTTCAAATCCTCCTGCCACACAGAGCCCCAGAGTCCGGGGCAGAGTGGCAGAAATGGGGACTCAGGGTGTGGGGCTCACAGGCAGCAGCTTGGAGGTCTGCCCCTCCTGGCCCCCACCCAGGGACACACTGCTGGCCACCCGCCACCCTCCAGGCCCCAGCCGGCTCCCTGCTCCTAATTGGGGTGGCGACTGAGGCCAGCCTGGTGGTGGGAGCAGCACGCAGCTCGGAGCGTGTCTGTCAGCCGCGACAACGCCCTCATCATATGCCCAGTCACTCCCCAGCAGGCCTCACGGTCCCCCTGGAGCTGCGCTGATAAGGCAGCCTCCTCCCTCGTGCTGCCCAGTGATTCAGGGACAAGTTTATCAGCACCCGCACGGCTGCTAATGGGACAGTGACCCACAGCTGTACACGCCATTACCACTCATTACTGCGATTACATCCTGTAATCCGCACCCCAGACCCCCACGGGGCGGGAACAGGACGCTGAGCCCAGGGTTGCAGAGCTGAGCGCTGTCTGCTGGGCTGCTTCCCTCGGCCAGGCACCGGGATGGCTCCACTGCACACGCAACCCCCCGCCCCCTGCGCACCCACGCCAGCTGACACCAAGCACTGTGGGGCCTGGAGCGTGCAAGCCGTGGCCCTGTCCCTCCTGGCAGACCGAGCTCAGGCCTGCGACAGAGCCCAAGGGGCCAGCACGTCCTTGTGTGGTGCCCAGGAGGCCAGTGGACAGAAGGATGAGCCACAAGGGCTGCTGCATCCCTGCACAGCTCCTATCCACTCCACCAGGCAGCGCGCAAGGTCATCGTTCGCACAAGAAAGACCTCAGGCCACCAGAGGCCAGTCCTTCTCCCTGAGGTGCCCCACCCCACACACGCTGCTCCCCGCCACCCCGAGGACGTACCTTACGAAGAAGGAGGCTGCAGCAGAGGGACCCGGGGAGCCCCCTGCCGAGGTGCCCGGGCCTGGGGTGACCAGAGTCGATGTGCAGGCCCCCGCCTGGCCCCATGACTTGGACAGACCATCAGGACCCACCACGGGGGTGGCGTCTCGGACAGAGTCTGCCACCGCCACGGCAGCTACGGCCGCCTCAGCCTGGAAGGAGAGAGAATCCACGTGAGGCAGGGGAGGGTGGGCAGAGGCACCCATTGCCCCGGGCACCAGGAGCTTGGGAGACAAGCCATGCACACCAGAGCTTGAAAAATCCCCAGCCCCAGGAAGCGGGACCAAAAGACCCAGGTCTCCAGCTCAGAGCAAGTGGGAGACAGAGGTGGACACTTCCAGGCCTGAGCTCCTGGCCCTCCCACCACGTGCCCAAGACGCAGTGACCACAAAGGTCCAGTGGACGGGGGTGCCCCGCACCGCAATGCCCCAGGCCTCCTGAGAGCCCCCAGAGTTGTCACTGGACAAGAAGCCACACTAGATATTTGGCCTCGGTGCTAACTGCCCTGTTTGATAATGTAGGATGCTCTAAGTCTGAAATATTGCTCTAGCATTTCCAACTAATTAGCTAAAATAAATTCCAGAAGGGAAACACCTCATGCTGAGCTCAGATGTAGTGAAACACTCCAGGACGTCACCAGCACGCCCCGGCTGGTGCCCTAAACAACATCTGTCTGCCCCTCGGGCCTCAGACCTCTGGTGGGCAGGTGACTGTCTCCTTCCCCAGGGCCGCTGTCCCCATTCCTCCACAGTGCCCAGCTCCAGCCAGCCTGGGGTGCATCCATGGCCAGACCCAGACTGCTCCATCCAGGTGGGCAGAGACGACAGAGGCGAAGTCCAGTGTCCTGGAGCCAAGGATCCAGTGTCCTCAGGGTCTTCCAGGGGACACAGGCAGAAGCCACAGGGAGCACTGTGGCAGAAAAAGCCCCTAGGTTCTGGGGGAACATTTGTGACCATCATCAGCAGCTCCCCCACCATGGTGGGTGTCTTCTTCCCAGCCTGTGACCAGCGCCAGCTTCCAAAGCCCTCTTGGGACAGTGAGGAGGAAGAAGCCCATCTATACAAACTCACAACCAGCCCCAAGCTCAGGCCTGAGGAAGGCCAGCACTTCTTGCCCTGGCTATGAGAAGGAAAGGTCAGCTGCAGCAAAGGGCAGACGAACAGCCTAGGCAGAACCTGGCACGGTGCAGCACACCATGCCCACCACCTGCCTGCCAGTCAGGAACTCCTGCACACCTCTCAGAACCCAGCCTGGCCTGCTCCACCTTTCATGAGAATTCCTTTCCTGTCAGTGCATGTTCCCTGAGAAAGACCTAAACTCCCGTGCAGGACAGAGCAGCCTGGGGAAGGATGGATCTTAAAGTCATAAGGTGGACGTGCACCCCCCGGGGGCAGGGCTGCGCCCAGCTGCTCCTGGGACGTGGGAGGGGGTGCTCAGTCACAGCCGGTGATAGCACCATTGCGCCTGGCCTGGTCACACCCAGCTCCCCGCTGCCTGCAGGTGTGGGACTGAGGCCACAGGGGTCTCGGCAGGGCCAGAGCCGCCCCATGGCACCCTACCCATGCCCAAGGGCCCAGCCACCCCACCAGCTCCTCCTGCATCTCCACCTCCAGCCGCCACTCGGTGCCACCTACGGCCACCAGGCCACCCACACTGACCTGTCTCAGGAGTCCCGCACCAGCCGCGGCTCCACCGTCCCACGGCTCCGACCACCGGGACGGCCACTGCCAATTCCTGCCAGAAGCAGAGCCCAAGCATGCCAAAAGAAGCCGTCCCAAGCGAGAGGCAGGGTGGGAGGGAGGGGACCACACACGGGACAGGAGGGGAGGGGGCCAACAGAAAGCGAGATGGAGGTGCCACAGCAGCAACGAAAGGAAAAGCAGGAGAGAGGAGAGCGTAAGGCCGGCTGCGGCCGGCACAGCCAGGAGAACTGCACCTGCTTACCACCCCCGCCGACGCCACAGCCCTGCCTCAGTGGAGCCTCCCAACGTCAGCTGGCATGGGCGGCTCCCTGGAACACCAGGGTTCCACGGGACACTATCTGGGAAACACCACACTCGCCCTTTCCCAGGAGCCCTCCAGGCTGACCACCTCCTAGCCAGGGTTCACCCAGGGGAAGACGGCGCCTGTCAGCCACACCCACAACGCCCCACAGCGCCCGAGGTGCTGAGGAGCAGAGCTGGGACTTCAGGGCAGAGTCACCCGCCCATGAAGGCCCAGGCTCCTCAGCCAGAGGCCCCCAGAACGGGCAGGCAGGGTCACTGCAGGCCTAGGGGAGAAGGAGGCACCCTGCCCATGCCCGCTCCACAGGCAGGGAAGCAGGCTCCCATGAGGGGCCCAGCCAGGTCCGGGAGCCAAGCCTGCACATAGCAAAGCCCCCGTTCCTGCTCCCCCAGACCCTGGCACCCCTGCAGGAGCCACCCATACACCATAAAGAGAGGGGGAACCCTGTTCCTCAGGACCCCACTGCCCTGGGGGCGTCCACTGTGTCCCTGCCCACCTGCTGAGGAGCTGGCAATGAAGTGGTCTCCGTGTCACCCCTGCCCCGGACACGCCAGGCCCAGGCCTCTGTCCAGCACGGCCAGGGCAGGTGGGCACGACAGGCCTGCTATGACATCAGGGCGCCCTGGGCACACAGTGGTGGATGACCCAGAAGGTGCTATGAGGTCCCCAGATGCAGGCTCAGGTTTGCATGGCCAAGGGCTGCTACACCTGGACTGTCACGGCAAGGCCCCTGCAGGGCCACCCAACAGGCTCCAGCCCTGGCTCCCCAGCCCCTATCACCTGCTGCCCCTCAAGGGCAGCCCTCCGGCCAGGCCCAGACACTCCTCCTCAGCACCCCGCCAACCTCACAGAGATGGCAGTGCCCACCGAGTCGAGCCCTGGCCCTCCACTCTGTGTCCCAGGACAGCAGGGGCTGAGCCATCACCCCCGAGGTCAAGTGTGCCTGGGATCAGTCCTGATATTCACAGCGCATTGCTCCAGAAATACTTCAGTCTCGAGCGAATCAGGCAGTATTTTAACACTCCAGGGTTACCTCTAACAATTGATGTTCGGATCGGGGATATTACCTCATCTGAGTCCTGAAGTTCTATTTATGGTTCTAATAATCTCCCTATTGATTGCTGGGCCGTTCCCTAATTATAAATCCATTCCCCCCTACCAGAAACACAATCAATGCACACATAAAATGGGGAGCGGGTGCCCTAAATGCCTGCGTTTTATGGCACACCGGCTGCCAGCAGGGACACACTCTCCCCGTTAACCCCAGGCCCCATCCCACACCAAGACGTAAGACTGCCGACATCGACATCGCCAGGCTCAGTGCCCAGCCAGACACAGGCTAGGACAGGCCGGAGAGACCACAGAAAGGGACATGTGGGGCCCCTGTCTTAGGTCTTGGGCCGATCACCTCAGGTCTCCCTTGGGGCCCGGCTCAATGCCCCCTCCTCCAGGAGGCCACTGCCTGCAGCCCTAGCACGCTCCTCCCAGGTACCAGCGGTCAGGCCTCCCCAGGATGAGAAACAGAGAGTGCTGTTCCTGGCCGCTGTCTGCAGGGAGGCCACTCCGGGGGTGAATCATCACACCAGCGGGAGGTCAGCTATGGTCAAGAGTTCTTCCCTGAGTGCCCTACACTCCCCGCCTGATGACATAGTGACCTCGAAGGCCCAGCCACAGCAGGCCAGGAAGCTGGGACAGGGGCCTCTGCCCGCACCTCTGCCCATACCCTGAAATGCCACCAGGAAGGGAGACCGAGGTCCAGGGCCCTGAACTCATTTTAGAGTCCCCATAACCACAAGCTGCAGGCGCCTGGGGTGGACAGCCCACAGCCATCCACAGGTCCTCAGCCCCGGAGGCACTGCGCGGCCACGCACATGCGTGCAGCACCACTGCTGCCGACCTCGCACCCCTGGGCCCTGCCTTCAGTATCTCACACCTCGGGGCTCGGCCCAAGGGTCTTGACTCTGCTCCCCACAACCCCAGACCCACAGTGCTGAGTGCAGGGGGGCTGGGCAGAGCACTGGTGGCTTGGCCTTAGTCCCCAGCAAGCAGGTAGCCACAGCCAAGGGTACAGTGCCACCTGGAGAAGCTGTCTGAGCCAGGCGGGAAGTGCACAGAGGGTTAGCAGGGCCCAAGCGAGGGGTGCTCACCACAGCCAAGCCTGCTCGCTCCCCAAACCCAAGCCACAACTCCCAGGATCCCAGGAAGCCCCGACACTGGAATCCCTTCTCCGGATGGAAAAGGGGGTTTGGAGGATGCTGGGGAGACCCCAACCAGCCACCCTGGGCCAAGGGAAGAGCAGCATCTACCTGGGCCCCTTCAAGAACACTGCGGGTCCCTAGGCAGGGCCACCCAGAGCCAGCCAGGGAAGCTGGGCTTCCGTCGGGAAGGGACATTCTCCATGCACTGCCCTTGTCTCCACAGACACCAGGCCCAGCGTGGGAGGGGGCTTGGCCTCACCCTAGGCCCCAGTCTCTGCCGCCCAGCCACAGGAAAGCTAGTGCCACCTGGATAGTGGCCAGGGGGAGCCTGGTGTGGCAGGGTCCTCACAGAGAGCTCTTCCCTCCTGCCAACCCGTGCCCCTCCATCCCCCACATCACACATGGTCTCAGGAAGGTGGCCCGAGCTGTCCCCAACAGGTTGCAGAGGGCCACCTCAGGGCTCTGACGCAAGGTGTGGGAATGTCTGGGGACCCCCACCCGGAGGGCATCGGAAGCCCCAGGCCTGGAAGGAGCCCAGCTCTGACCTCAGTGTGCCCAGCACTCACCAGGCAAGTTGGGGGCAGGAAGCCGCTGGCCCTTGAGACGTTCCATGCGCCCTCAAGGCAGGGCTGCGCCTGGATTGTGACCGTGCTCAGCGCTCCGCCTAGGCCTGCAGGGGCCACTGACACCTGGACGCTGGGCCCAGCCGGCCAGGCCAGCCCCTTCCTCCGGTCAGGCAGGGTGGGCGGCTGCCTCTCTGTGGGGCCGGGCGCATCCCTGGGACTGGTCATGGCCCCAGGGCCAGGGGGTACAAGGCCTCCTCGGGGGACATCGGGGTCCTCACAGCTGGCAGGGGACTGCAGCAGGCGCAGAGCCTCTCGGGTGAGCTGGTGCAGGTGTGTGGCACAGGCATCGCAGCGACTTTCGGCCTCAGGACGGCACGCGGGCAAGACCCCAGGCACCGGGAGCTTGTCCAGGAGCAGAGCGGAGAGGCAGGGATCCTAAGAACAGCAAGGGACAAAGACACAGTCAGCAGCCAGGTGGGGGCAGCCGCGCAGAGCCAGCTGGCCACCCACCCTCACCACCGCCACACCACGTGGCCGCAGCACCAGCCATAACTGATTAATAAGCCCCACACGGTTTCATCCACATGGACCCAGCAGGAAAATAATTATTGGAGCTTAATAGTGAGGTTCACAGTGCCCTTGATAACCGCCGCCTCCCCCATCGTTAGCCGGGCAGCAAGAAGACGTGTTGGCAGCGGCTCCCAACAAGCGTGTGGCCACGAGGCCCCTCACCCCTGACTTGGGGGCGCTGCAGACACTCATTGGCCTCTTCCAAGTGTGCAGTCAGCCCTGGGTGGCCAGCAGGAAAATGAAACAGGACTACTGTGGAGCGCAGGAAAGGCTGCCCTTTTCCTCACATGGCTGGGTCTCCAGGGCCGCACCTGACCAGCACTGCCTGAGCATGGAGGCGCCAGGCCACCGTGTGCCAGTCACAGGCTCTTGCAAGGCCCCCAGACAGTGCATGTGCCCGGGCAGGTGGGGGAAAGGGCAGAAGGCACGCAGGAGTCAGGACACTGAAACTATGCCTTTCCGCAGCCTTGGGCAGAAGCAGAGCTCCACGCCAAGGTTTCCACCGTGGTTTGGATCAAGGCCCCCGAGTCCCATGGACCCAGAGGTGGGGTTCAGAAGGAGATGGGGTGCAGTTACAGTGTGGCTTCCCTCTGAGGAAACTCGCTCCAGAAAACTCTCCCAGGGCCTCAGAGACGCACTCAGCTTGCACACGGGCCACGCACGTGCGTCACCGGCATGGCAGGCTCAGCACTTCCTCCCGCTGACCTCGTCCCCAGGGAAGCAGCACAGTCGTATGGACAGCAGCTCTCTAAACTTCAAGCACAAGCCAACTGCCCGCAATCTAGCCAGCCCCCCAAGTGGGATGCACACAGCCTAGGCCACCCGACTGGAGGACACCCCAAGACCCCAGGCACACTCCCAGCCTAGCCTCCTGCACCTCGCCACAGGGCCACACCGGCCTCCGTGTGGGCTGCTTCCTGCCAGTGCCCCCCACTGACAGTCCTGCAGTTCTTTCCTGTGACGAGAACCAGTGACACTGTGCCCCACCATGGACTGGGTGGGCTGAGGTCCCCAGCTCCTCTCAGGGACCTTCTGGGGCCCCCCAGACCCTACCCCATCCTGGGTCTCCCTCCCAAGCTGGCTGGAGGGAGTCCCCTGCCCCTGCCCCTGCTTGGTCACAAAAAAGACCACCGTGTCCCCAAACATGCCCTGTTCTGAACTGAAGATGAGGCCACTGGCCCCTGAGCCTGCCCTGTGGCTGGTGGTCAGTCCTTGCCAGGGGTGGCCAGCATTGTGGGGAATCCTGGGGCTGCCCTGAGCAGGGCTCTCTCCTGCTCATCTCCAGTGCCAGCCCACGGCCCCAGGGATGCCAAATCACATGAAAGGATGACCCACACAGGCCCAGCCTCCAGCCAGCTGGGGGCTCGAGGTGCTTGCCGGAAGCCTGGACTCTCTCCAGCTCTGCAGTGCCTGGCAGGTCTGGTCCCGACCAGCAGCTCCCCGCCCCACACCCCTGCAGGCGTTCCCGGAGCTCAGCCCAGCAGAGGGAGGGTCCCCCACCCGGACCCCTAGAACCCACAGGTAGCCCTGCCGCTCCACCACAGCAGCGCAGCACCAGGTCCACACTGGGCGCCCCACCCCCTCCCAGACAGCCAGCACCAGGGCCCCAGCCCGAGGGCGAGGGCGGCTGGGCCAGCTTCCCTGTGCTCTGATTGCACTGCTTTTCCACTCTGCAGGAGGCTGTGAAGGGGAAGGAAGTGCCCGCCCCACTGCAGCCATTAGCCCAGCCCGACAGGCCGGCCCAGCGCGCCCAAGCCCCACCCGGCCAGCAGCCTTTGTTCTGCTGGCCGCCAGGGAACTCGCCTGTCCTGGGGACCTCAGGCTTGGGGAGCCCTCTCCACCGCTCCATGGCTTGCACCACAGGAGCCAGGAAGGGAGTGGGCAGCGGGGAGGGAAGGGGCCCCTGAGGACGCACAGCACCTTCCTCCAGCCCGCGGGGGAGCCAAAGGGAGGTGACCAGGACCTGGGCAGCCACAGCCAGTGCCCAGCTAGGCCCCGCTAGGGGTTCTCGAACGCAGGTCCTGTCCAGGCCCCAGGATGTCACACGGGGCCCCAGGACAGGGTAGGGCTGGCCACTGAGCTCAGTCCCCACTGGGAGGCCCACACAGGCTGCCAGTCACTGCTCAGTACCCACCGCATGGGCACCGTAGCCAGGGACCTGCACCCCAGCTGCTGCACGGGCTCCCGAGAGGCTGGCCTGTGACCAAAGCCCACTTTCTTTCTCTTTTGTCAGTACCGGGCACAGAAACCAGGGCGGTCACACTGAGCACAACCCCAGCCGTTTCCTTTTTTATTTAAAGACGGCCTCACTAAGTCATTAAATTCCCCGGGTTCGGCTCAAATTTGCCATCCTCTTGCCTCAGCCTCCCAGAGTACTGAGATTATAAGACTCAAAGCCCACTTTGGGCACAAGCATCTCTCCTGGGACAGGACCCAAACCCACCTCACTCCCAGGGGACACTGAGCCTGACGCCAACCAGGCCACCTTCCCAACCCTGGTCGCACACCAGGACAGCGGCCCTCGCAGTCAGGGACCCAGACGGGGAAATCGCTGAGCTCCGCTCAGGTCTCTGAGAAGCACACAGCCTGTGCCGGGGCCAGCATCTCTGGGGCCAGGATAAGCAGAGCCCAGCCCGGAGACCCCTTGTTCGGGGCCCAGCTGGGGCCCCACAGCACCTGCTCTGTACAGCCTGCTGCACCTTCAGGATTCAGTGCACACCGAGGGTCAGGGTCAGGGTCAGGGGGGCCTGCTGCGGGGCCCCAGGTCACTGCCCAATCGCAGGGCCTGCTGCGGGGCCCCAGGTCACTGCCCAATCGCAGGGCCTGCTGCGGGGCCCCAGGTCACTGCCCAATCGCAGGGCCTGCTGCGGGGCCCCAGGTCACTGCCCAATCGCAGGGCCTGCTGCGGGGCCCCAGGTCACTGCCCAATCACAGGGCTTCGCCCCAAAGCCCGGCACAGGCTGCCCCTCACCCTGCAAAGCTGGGGCCTTCAGAGAGACTAATTATTCCACCGCAAAATATGACAATTTCTCCTTTAGGGTCTAATTAAACAGATATTTTACTTGCATTTGGAAAAATGTTTTTCTTAATTTGATTCAATTTAGCACCCCTCATGCCGAGGGCTTCCTGGAGCCTCCCCTACTTAGAAATGATGGTTTCTCATTTCTTATTTCCTTGCTGGTGTCTCTGAGCTGAGGTAAGTAATCCTTCTATTTTCTCCCAGTGCCAGCACCAGGAGAGACCTCACATCTCACTCCAGGGCTGGCCAGGCCCCCACCCAGGGACAGCATAGGCCCAGCCCTGTCCTGGTGGTAGCAGGGATCCACACCCAGGTCCAAGCAGCCCCAGATCCCACTGCAAGAGAGCCTCTCTGAGCCTGTCGCCCCCAGGGACCCCACAAAGGCATCCCAGCACCCATGGGCAGGGCCAAACAGGACCAGAGGCCCCCAGAGCCCTGGGTCCCCCTGCCCTACCCCACAGTGTGAGTGAGGACCCCGTGGTCACCGCCCCCTCCACCTCGTCCTTTCCCTTCCCAAACAAAGCCCTGTGGGCTGTGACCCTGCACCGCCGCTTCCGGAGTTGACAACAGGTCCAGGAAGGGCCCGGCGGCTGCGCCCACAAGCCATGCAGCCAAGGACGCTCCGGGTCCCCTGCAGCCTGGTGGGGTGGAGGCACGGGCTGCACTGACTTTCCAGCCTGAAAACTGGCAGTCACACCTCAACTGCCCAGCGCCCTCTCACGCAGCAGGCATCTCACTCCAGGCCAGGGCCCCATCCTCCAGGCTGCAGCGCGAAGCTCCTGGCAGCATGGGCCTCCCCCAGGCCCACCCAGCACCAACCAGCGCCATGCAGCCCAAGACCTGTGCCAGGCACGGCCCAGCTGGACCATGCGGACACAGACTGGTCATTGAGACCCTCCTCCCTCAAGGGCCTCTCTGTTTACCCACTGCCCGGCAGGGCACTGGGGCCCTCAAGGATAAAGGCCTCTGCTGGAGGTTGGCAGTGGCCCCACCCCAAGCCAAGGCCACAGCACACAGCCTCGGCTCAGCTCCAGGCGGCCCCTCTCAGCCAGCACTGTGGACACTGCCCCTGTGCAGACGCTTGTCTCTTTGGACTGAACGCTGAACCTCGGCTGTCCCTCCCCAAAGCACGTGTCAGTGCACAAACCAGAGGAGGAGCAGCGCCGCCGAGGGCCAGCCCTGGGGCTCAGGTGAGCGGCACCGTGCCTCCCTGCACCCGCAGCCCGCGTGGGGACAATGGCTTAGCAGGTGCGGGCGAGCAGGATGTGCGGCCTTCGCTGCTTCCCAACTCTGCCCCAGGCTCTTCTCCCTCCACACTCAAGAGCAGGGTCCCCTGAAGGGACAACGCCAAGCCCGGCCCAGGCGTTGCAAGAGCAGGCCAACCTCCCTCACCAATCCCCCAATCCCTGGGCAGGACAGGCCCGGCAGCACCTCAAGAGCCATACACTACTGCCGGGCACCCCAGCCTCTACCTCACCGGACAACAACCACTCTGCCTACAGTGCCCACTGCGGAGGGTCAGAGGGGCTGAGACACCTCCTCCCTGTGCACAGCTGGACAGCAGAGCAGAGAGTACCGACGCTCAGGCCCCTGCTCCAGCCTCACCCTTCACCACCCAACTGGCCCCTCTTGGGGAGCCCCTGAGCTGATCAGGGACCCTAGCCCCACCCCCAGGAGCAGAATGGTGAGAAAGCTGGGAGCAGATCCCAGAGTTTCCTCCAGCTGGAGCGGGTGTGGGGCAGGGCAGGATCCGTGCTGGGGTGGAAAGGCCCTTGACCAGGGCAGTGGTCAAGCAGCCAGAGCTGGAAGGCTCAGGGAAAATCACTCGGGCCACCCAGCCCCAGCTGGGACCACCAGGAAGGTGCAGAATCCCATCTGGAAGGCCGAGCCGGGCCGTAGCTGCAGGCCGAGGCTGGGGGACAGGGCAGGACATGGCAGGGTAGTGCCAGGCAGGCTCCACCCAGAAACATGCAGTGGCTCGGCCAGCCCACCACCCAGGTCCGGGGTCATGGCACACAGTGGCAGCCACGTGTGAGGCTAGATACTGCCACCCTATCCAGCAGAACCTGGGATGCCACCTATGGGGGATGCGACCACAAGGCTAGGAGCCCTCCCAGGGAACACGGGACACCCCAGGCTCACCCTGCCTACAGGGGCACCAGAGAAGGCGCCCCAGCCCAGGACAGGCAAGGGTGCCCACTCTGCCTGGACATAGGGCCTCTGGGCTCCACCCAGGGGGAGGGGTGGGAAGCCAGTACTTGGGCTCAGTGACAGACAAGGCACTCCCAGCCACGGCCCTGCAGCACACAGGCCCCCATTCCAGAGGCCGAGCGACAGCCAGACACCTACACACACTCAGGTCAGCTTCACTCTGCTTATTCGTCAGGCACAAAGATCAAAACCGCCTCCAGAAACTACACAATACAAATCAGAAACAAAACTACACAACTGGACACAGCCTCAGTGAAAACACACAGAAATGACCAGTTCCCCTAATATGTGTGGAAGGCCCCACTCTTCGAGAGTTGCGTGGCTAGCTGTGGGCCTCCCGGAAGGCACAGCACAAGGGAAACTAAGCCTTCCTCGTTGTTTCAGACAAGAACCAGCTCTGCCAACCCTCCCAGGACACTCCGAGGGAGTCCTGGCCTCACTCACTCCAGGCCGTCTTGTGCCCCGCTCCCCTTCCAGCCTGGGCAGAGGGCAGCAGGGCCAGCGACCACACTCAGCCAGCCCTGCCCAGAATCCCCGCCTTATGCAGGGGCGCGTCCTGGACACCCAGCCACCGGCACCCACCAGGAGCCAGCACTCACCTCTGCCCAGCCTGAGCTTCAGAGGGGCACGGCCCACTTCCCCGGGCTCAGTCTCCGTGAAGCCTGCGCAGCCCCAGGCCAGCAGCGCAGGTGAGACAACCGGGAGGGAAGGTCCTCGTCCCACCCCACCCCACACTGAGCCAGCCTGCTGGGGAGCAGCCAGCCCAGCCTCCCCCCACACCTAGGCTCCTGAAAGGCCTGGGGGCCCAAGCCCCATGGGTCCAGTCCCGGATCCCTTCCCAGCTGAGTCACCACCCCTGGCAGGAGCCCAGGGAGCCCTGGCCCCTCTCACACCTCCCCGGGTGCCACTGAATCCAGGGCACCTGGGCGCAGCCGAGGAGCCTAGGCCCCGCCCTGCAGTGCCTGAGGCAGGTACTGCGCCTGGCACGTCGGGGAGCCCAGGCCAGGCTCCAAACAGCGTGGGGGGCACAGCCGCAGCTGGGGGGTCTGGCCTCGGGGCAAGCATCCAAATCAGACCCTGGAAGCCGCAGACCCAGGAAGCAGGGGCTCCGGGAAGTGACAGAGTGGAGTGGAGAGCTGCCGGGTCCCCGCACGCCTCACCTGGAGGCAGACAGGCACAGCCATGACGGGGCCCAAGGCCACACACCAAGCCCAGGCCGCAGAGGCAGGAGTGCGGGTCAGGTGCCAGGAGGCCCATAGGAGCCTGCACTGCCGAGGAGACAGTAGCCCCAAGTTGCACCCATGGGTGGCCTTGGCTGCCTGGCGACCATCTGAGCAAGCCCTTGGTACCACGTTGGCGCACGAGCATCCACAATGCCATGGAGCCCTGGAGGCCGAGAGAATGAGACCCCACCTGCAGCAAAGGCTAAACAAGAACTGATCACTTCCCCATCTGAGTGATAATCAACTCAGCACCGGTACTGACACCTCAGACGTCACCAGGCCTCTGGAGGAGTTCCCACACGGACGGCTCAGGCAGCAGCTGGAATGGCTCCCCATGTGGGACCCTGCCCCGTCACAGCAGGGAGCAGCCCTTGCAGGCCACCACCGTGAGGACACAGAGCCAGAATCCAGCCCCAACAGCCCTCAGGGTCACTTAGCCTGGTCACTCGGTCATTCAACAAACATTTCCAAGTGACTTGGAGCCCATGCCTTCCCTAGCAGTAGTCTGGGGTGACACTCCAGACTGCCGTGGGGACAAAGTCTGCTAGAACTTGGTAGCGACCCACTGCAGCAGTGAGGACACGGGACGAGGAGCGGCATGAGGCTCAGGTCCAGCAGAAGCAGGAGAGGCCGGGCTCTGGGCTGTGCGTGGGGACCACAGGCCTGCAGGGACATCTCAGAGGCAGGGCAGCTGGGAAGGGAGTGCAGGGAACCAGGGACGCTGAGGGTGTGGGGAGGGGACCTGGAGGGCAAAGGTGGCACCATCCTTGGATCAAGAAGGACAACAGAGCAGGAAAAGGACACACACTCCCGGCACCAGACAGGGCTGAGGAGAGGGGGTGGAGGGCGCAGAAGGCCTTAACTCCAGGCCACCCTACGGCTGCCATGCCAGGCGGCCCTGTGACACAGCAGAAGCCTTCACAGGGCTGCCAGGTCCCCAGCAGGAGGAGCAGAAGGCAGATGATGAGGGGGACCCACAGGTCCCTCAACCCCCTAGACCGCCCCTTGCCATTGAGGTTCAGCAGTGACCTAACAGGCCTCTAACGGTCAGGCCCAGGCCCAGCCCCAGGACCATCCTGGCCAAGTTCTCTGTAAACCAAGAAACCCCAGGGAAACCCCAGCACCCCAGCTCTGGATGCCTAGGATCACCATGGCCTTGGGGAACAGAGGTGCACCCACCGGGTCCCAGCCAGTCAGTCATCGTGGTCCTACCCCAAGGGCACACAGCTCACCCTGGACACTGGCAAAGACACTGCTGAGGTCCCAGGGTTGCAGGATGGCCCCAAACCCTCCTCAGCTGTGGAACCTACAGCTGGATAGCGCTCGTAGCACAGGCCTGGCGGCACACACGGAGGCACAAACCACAGAGGAGGGTCAGGGCCACACACAGCACTGGCTCAGGACCCGGGGCTGCTGGTGTCACAGTCAGCCACCCCAGTCCTGAAGAGCAGCAGCAGATGTCAAAGCCAAACTCGGGGATGTGGAGATGGATGGGGACCATGCTGCCGGGTTCTCCAAGCAGAGATCTCCAAGACACCCCAGATGGGTGACCCTGCATCCACCGGATCCCATAACCAGCACCCAGCAGGCCCACACAGGACCAGGCCAGGCAAAGCAAGAGCAGGGAGACCAGCTGTCAGTAAAGTTCCTCTGCTTCCCTAGCCTCAGCTTCCCGAAGGCCCTCAAAAGCCTGTCACCAACAGCACCTAGGACTGGCCTCCTGGTCCTCTCCCCTCCCCGGGGTCCCTGGAGAGGACCCAGGATGAAAGCCAGACTGGCACCCAGGCCGGAAGGGAGCTCAGGGTCTCTTGTCTCAGACCTGTGGCCCACACCCTCCTGGAGAACTGTACTCAGGGTCCACGGGGATTCTGCGGACTTCCCCGAGCTCCTCCAGCCGGACTGCAGGCCGGCACATGCTTCCTCTGGAGACCCCCGCCTCTCCCCGGCCTGCGCAAACTTCCAGTGGCATTGTTCCCTGAACAATGCTGCCTGCTCTGCAGCCAGGCGAGCCCACTGGCCGGAAAGCCCAGCGCAACTCTCTCCCACCAACACCCTGCCGGCAGGGCTACACCTGGGAAACCCAGAGACCCCAGGACCCGTGGGGTCGCCCCAGCTGCAGGGGGTGGCCACCTCTCCCTCCACACTGTCTGACGCAGGTGAGCCATGTCAGACACCTGGCTCAGGACCTCAGGGCCCAGGGAACCTCTTGGCTGGCAGAGGAGCTCCTGCCCCTGGCTGGGCCTTGCAAGCAGGCTCCCCTCCCCCTCCCACACAGCGTGGCTTCAGCTGTGGGACCTCTGTGCGGAGAGAAATGCCTGCCCAGACCCTCTCCTACCTGCAGCTGGACCCCAGGAGGAGCTGCCCCAACTCACACACCCCGTGTTAGAGGGGAAACTGAGACCCAGAGCCACAGGCGGCAACAGGACCCGCTAGAACCCGGACTCCTCCCAACTCCTAAGGTCTCTCAAATCTGGGCCCTGGAGTGTAGGCACTTACCCGGAGGGGAGTCCCGGGCCCGCTGACCAGCTTCCACGCCTGCCGCTTGAGCTCCACCAGCTTGGTGTGGCAGTGACGGCACCAGCCGCCCCCACCGGCGGAATGTCCCTGCTCTGCGCCCGCCCCGGCCCCCTCGGGTGCAGGGCGGCTGCCGCATGGGTTCGGCTCGGGCCCGGCAGGCAGCCTCTTGCGCGGGGACACCTCCAGCAGCGGCAGCTGCTCGCGGGCTAGGCCACCCTCAGCCACCTGCGGGGTGGAAGTGCAAGAAGACAGTGAGCCCGGCTGCAAGGAGCCGCCACCCCGGGACCCAGCGAGCCGGGCCCCAGAGCGACGCTCTCGCCAAAGTTAGAGCCCTGCGCAGATCTGGCGCCCCCTTCCCGTGCACAGCGGGCCGCCCGGGCACAGAGGGCGCCGCTCACCCCGCGAGCATCCTCAGCACCCGGGGCCCCGAAACGGGCGCC